ACGGAGGGGACCAATACAGACACGTCCGGAATTCTCCTGGTCACTCATGAATATCCATCACTACCACGTGCTAAGAAATGACCTCCACAGAGCAGTTTGCCAAGAAGGAAGTGCAGCAGCATCTGGCACAAGAGCTCTTCTCTTAAATACCTTCCCTGTGGGTGCTAAAGCTTTGTGAGCACCTATTAGGGCTCATCATCTCCAAACCTGATGGAAACAACAGCCATGGGGCCCTTCCCTATCACAGAGATTCCCACCTGTAGCCCCACAAAGTCTGATGGGAGGCGAAGGTCCCACAAAGCTCTGCACACCTTCAGCTCCCAGCAAGTCCTTCCTCTCCAGGACTCCAGAAGCTTCCTGAAGCCAACCAAAGCTTACCAGCTCCCCCTAAACAAGCCACCTCATCCATGCCAGTCAGGGTGGCTTTGTGCACCAGTGAGCACCCACACTGTAGGCGGATTCTTCTTCTGAGGACTTAACTGAAAAGCAATCACATGAACAGACCATGCAGCCAGGAGCATGTTAGACCTAAAGGCTTTACCAAACTGCTTTTTCTCTGCCATAAAAGAGACCAGTGGAGAACTAAAACTATGGACAAGCCAATTACTCCCTTTTTTCTGCAGATCAAACAGCACCAATTGCTTTTTCTCTACCACAGGTGACAACTGCAAAACAAAGCACAATTTAAGAATCCACCAGAGTGAGGTTCACATTGAGACATTTCAACTGAGAACTAAAGCTACAGGAGTTCCTTCTCTACTCCAAAGTAGTAGTTTTAGCACAGAATATGACAGGCACTTGCACACTGCAAGGCTACTTGTAGCACAAGAGACACTACACACAGGCAGGAAGCCATGGAGTAGCCTGGTGAAGGAAGAGGAGCTCCCAAGAAGAAACAGGTTTCCACAAACAGAGCCTGTCTGCAGCAAATCAGATCCCTCCTCCTTCCCAGTTCTCCCAGTCAGAGGAATCCAACTGGGAAGAAGTTGCATTGTTTACTGAACAGAGCCAAATAAAACCAGTATATGACCTTGGGATGTGTGGATGCTCCACAAGGAACAAATAAGTTACAGTAACTTTCACAATGCTTACATAAGTAGATTCCTATGTAACAGCTTTTCCATTTCCTTTAACATTTTCAGGGATCAAGTCACGGTTGTCAGCAGGGCACTCTGACAGGAGGGAACAGAGGCTTTCTGGAAGGCTCTGGGAAGTCAATCCCACCTGACCTGAGGATATGCTGCAGTGCTCTGAACAGCTTTCCATTTCTGGTCTCCAAATACTCAAGAGTTACCATCAAAACTAAAAAGCCTCTTGTTAATCAGTTTTCAAATCAACATGCTCATTGAAAGCCAGAAAGCCTGGAATCTTTTCCATCTCCATAAACCACAGCACCAGTAGGAATGACTTTGAATACATTGTAGACTTTGTCCAAGTCCGCAGACATTGAATCCAAAAGGTTTAAAAAGAGAGAGCATGAACTTCGTTTGGTTTTTGGGGTAGGTTTGGAATTTCCAAGTATAAAGTTATCAATTGTTCCATTACCGAAGTCCAAAGCAGCAGGATTACTAAAAACTTACTAACACTTTCAGTGTCTGAAGCAGCCTGTTGGTGGTTATACACACATAGTATAGTTAAGAGGATTTGTGGAGATGTCAGTCACATTTTAGGAATAAACAAAGGTTATTATTACACTTTTCCAAAGTCATCTACAGCAATTCCAATGTGTAAACATTAATAGAAACCTTCTCCAAGATGGTTTTACACACTGATTAACCAATGGAATGTCTAAATCCTTCAGTAGTCAGTCAAACCTCTCTACAACTCTGTGTCTCTAATGAAAATTAGAGATATTAAAAGAACTGATGACTTCTAGAATAGCTGGTCCTTAAAAGTGCCTGTCTTGGCCTCATTTCCCAAGAGAGTGTTCTCCAAGAAGTTGTGCTTGCTACCCACTGCCCTCCTGTACCACCCAGAAGGAAAAGCCAGGGCTGATCCATTGGTCACTGAGGCAGTACCTCACATGCTCAGTTTTTGATCAACCACACACTGTGGCCCCCACTCCTGCCTTGAAAACAACTACTTGCTGTAAGACTGACAAACCCCCAAGATTAAAATTTCTCTGTCACTCCAGGCAGTGAAGAAACTCTGTTCTTAGGTAGTGCCTTTTTCCCTCAGGACTTTCGATGTGCTTAATAAAATAGGTATTTTCTTACTCAAAGTGAGACCCTCAGGGGAGTTTCTGGTTGTTTTTTTTCTGCTCTACCTTGAGCACTGAAGCTAACCCAGTGATCTTACTGTGGGTTATCAGCACATGAGCCACATCTACTACATTTTATAATGTTATAATGGAATGTTTCTACTTTTCATCATGGATTGGGAGGGCTAACCTAGAAAATATTTCCAATTTGTTTCAAAACTTTATAAAAAACTGATTTTAAAACCTAATGGCAGCACCTAACTGAAACAACAGCTTCTAAAGCAAGCAGAAAAGCATCCTGAATTAAGCTGGACAGAGGGACTCTGCAATTTAGCGTCTCTAAAGAAGTTCGTCCACAGAGGGGCTGTGGGACAGCTTTCCTGGGGGTGTTAGTGCACCTTCCACCCTCCTCAGGCCATGCTGTGATCTCAGAAATGCTCATTAGGCCTTGGTCAACAGCCCCTGGCCTGAGCTCCTCTTGGGCTTACCACACACACTGTCTGTTCCCAGGAACTAGTGCTGCCTAACAGCTCCTGGTGTTAACCAACAGCCTTGGAAACTGATTTGTCTTGCCTGAATAACAACCCAAGTGGAAAAAACATTTTTGTTATCGACCTTTCCAAGGAAATTAAGGACCTGAATTGTGGCCAGGATGGAAAATGACTATGACTAAAGCCAACTCTCTTGCTAACCTAAAACCTGAAGTCCTGAGAGACACACCTGGAGCTCTCCTGGGCTGCAGGGGGCTGTGAGCAGCTGTCCCTTGGAGCAGGACACCTCTCAGAGCTGGGGACTCTCCAGTTTGTTGTGCTCAGCATCAAATGCCACCACTGACACCTCAACCCTTCACAAAGGCACTGACCTGAGTCCTTCCCTGAACTCCAGGGGAATTTTTCACAGGGATATATATACCTGTACAAACCCTTTAGGTCTGTGTGGTGTGAGTGGGAATATGCTACAGCAAATGTACTAGGAATGTTGCTCTTCTGGATTCTTAGGTCCTCTAGATTTTTAAAATAAGTTCAGCCTGTGAGTTACTGTTGTGCTCTAGTGAGTTCTGAATGAATCTTAAATTGTTTAACTTCAGCTATTCAGTGCTGTTAAGTTTTAGTGCTGCTAATGATTCCATGATACTTTTAGGCCTAAACTGTTGGTCAAGTCCAGGCTCAGCCTGCAGGGGGTTCCACTCTGAAGCTTGTGACTCAAGGGGAAGGTTTCTCTTATTCCTTTTCATCCTGAACCTTTCCCACCCCCAGTCTCCATGCTGAGAATTGTTGGTTGATTTTAGTTTTAGATTGATTTGGGGTTTATTTTAGTTTGTTTTTTTTCTCTGTGTGCTTTAACCACCTGGTAAGTAGTAGAGTGAACCTTGCAATAAACTCTGTTGTGCTTTCACTTTTATATGAAACCTGCTTTGACACTGGGCCACCCATTGCCTGGGGAGAGAAGTCTTTGTTTCTACACAGGGCTTCTGTATAAATGTAATATACACATCTGTTTTAAATCTGCAACTTTGAACTAGTATCTGCAGCTGAGATTACAGCACTATGAAGAATCCAAGAGGTGTTAAGAAGAATTGGAGCCACAGCCACATGCCAAGATGTCCATCACTTCGTGTTCCAACAAGGGGTCAAGTCCCAATTTACCTTTTGTCACTAGTTTCACAGAATGACAAAGTCCACTGCCACGACGGATACTGTTCAATTCACCATGTCTTGATGGCACAGACAGAACATCTCCAAGTTCATGGAATTTTAACACCCAAGAGAACATTCCCCATAATCACTCAGCATGTGAAAGAATAATTCTGGGCCCCATTTCAGTCCTGAGACACAATACATCTGTAATTGCTGCCTCATCAATGGATGTGGGGAAAGCACACTGATCCCAGCTTCCAACAGAGCTACTCTCTTCAATTTAACCAAGATGAGAAAACAAGAGGGAAAAACTCCACATAAAACATTTTCCTACCGTTTCTCATTTCTAATCCTCCCTTTGGTCAAACATCCATGTGTTCCAGACTAATTCTGTGCCTTGCTGCAGCCTCACATCAGTAAATGAGGTCAATAAAAGCTTATTCTTCGAAAGGCTGGCTTAGAAAGAAGCTACTGAACTCAGGGGATCAGCAAAGCTCCTGGAGAAGCTGCAGCAGGTAAAAATCTCATTTCAAAATACTGACTACAAAGAAGACTCAACACTACACTCTACACTACAATAAGAAAAATAGCACAAGGCATAGCTGGACATTAAAATGGTCTCAGAAAAAGGCACAGGGGTTTGGTTTTGTGTAACAAATATGCATAGGAAACAAAAACTGAACCAGTTCTGCTACAAGGCAAGGGTCATGCAGAGACTCATTCACAGCTAAGAAAGGTTGGGGGTTTTTATCGTTTGAAGCTGAACTGAAATTTGCTATCATTTGAAGATGCCCTTGCACCAGCACTGAGAACAAAACATCCTTCCTCCTCCAGTCACAAACACTGCACAGCTCCAAAGCTCACTGGGCAAGATTCCCTTCAGCTTGGAACACCAGTGCTGGCAGGCAGTCAGCAACCTTAAACACATGTGGCCACTGCAAAGCAAGTTTACAAAGGCTCCAGGCAGCCTCGTGGGCAGCTCTGGGTGCAGGTGCACCTGCCCCACTCCATCTGCAGAGCAGTGCCCCAGCCCAGACTGCTGCTCCCCAGCTCCCTCACACCCATCCTCATGCTCAGCTCCAAGTGTGGGGGGGCTGCATCCCTGAGGCACAGCCCCACAGGCCTCACCCCACCACAGCCTCTTCACCAGGCAGTCCCAGAGCTCATCCCTGGTGCTCAGGCCTCCCGTCCTCCACCGCAGAGTCCGACACCACCGCAGTGTCCCGGGGTTGGGACAGGGTCTCCTTGGGCTGCTGCTCCTCTCCTGCCCCCACAGCCATAGCCCCTGCTGAGGGGCCATTGCTCAGCACAGGGGGGGCTCCCCCTCCATAGTCCTGAGGAGTGTTTGGCATTGAGGTTTTGGTAGCAGGATGTACTGCTCTGGATGACGAGCAAACTTCACTGGGCACAGGACCATCCAGGAAAGGAAGTTTCTACACAAATAAAAAGATATTAAACAAAACTGATGCAAGCTCCTATTCCCAGATGTCAGACATGTTGAAGGAGAGACTGGATATGGCACTTAGTGCCACGGTCTAGTTGACATGGTGGTGTTAGATCATAGGCTGGACTTGATGATCTCAGAGGTCTTTTCCAACCTGATCGATCTGGTGATTCTGTACAAAACCAGCTGTCAATATACCAGCTCTGTGGCAATGCCTCTTTTCCAGCTCTGCAATCCAGCATCGAAGTACATGGGCACAGATCCTTACATGAGTGATACACACATCAGTGTGCAAATAAGGAAGCTGAAGTTTTCAGTGTTCACGTTCACCTAGCAAAGGACACTGACAGTGTTCTTCACAGGTGTATTTTTAGATGCTCTGCTACTACTGTATTTTAGATGGTTTTTAGGTTGTTTGTGTGTGAGGAATTTTGTAATACATACAGAAAAGCTACTGCAAGCACAATTTTGTCATTTAACCCCCGATTCTGCCAAGCTTGTTTCAACAACTGTTCAATGCCAACGTTCAATCCTCGTTACATTTGCCAAACTCATCCTGTGACTTTAAACATTTTGTGACTCACATTTTCCAGTTCAGAGGCATTGTCCTCCAGCTTCATCTTCTGGCTCATGCAGCTCAGCAGGTGATCCAACACACACTGCTTAGGGTGCATTCCTTTGTCAAAGCGATTGTACATCCCACACCAAAACCTCAGGAACAGGACAAGAGAAGGGAGTTAGGAGGTCAGTTGGACACTACTGCCAACAGACCAGCTGCTGTTTAAGAATATAATTTTCAATAAATTCAGGTTAGTAATTGATTGTTAAAAACTGCCATGGCCTTGGATTAAAAAATTCAGAATCGATGGGCAAATTTTCATGAAGTTAAAACTGCCTGGAATAGGCATTAGCATGGGATGAAAATACACTGCTTTTTCTATAGGAGACTCCCTGGAGGCTTGGGCAGCTCACCTTCAAATCCTGTTTGCCCAACTTCCCAACTGTTTTTAAAATCCTTTGCCCACCAGCAGCCACATCCAGCATTTAAAAAGACATTTGAAGCACATTTGCAGCCCCTTCTTGCTCAGGGCCCAGGGGTGAGCCAAAACCAAACCAAAACTCACCACTTCACCTGTTAACCTCTTGGGCAAGCAAACAGATGGCACCCAGCACCCTCTCCTTGGGACAAACCCCTTGACTGCATCAGCCTGGCTGTGACTGGGCACCCAAATACCTGCTTGAAATGCTTCCTTCATATATATTAAAAAGGAGGAAAGCATGAACTTGCTTAAACAATTGTCTGCTGATCACTTCAACATCACAGAGCAAGCAGTCAGGGGTGTGTGGTTCTATCCACACATGTGAAGTTGTACTTTTCCTTGCCTTTCCCCACCCTCTTCTCAACACAGAATAAAATATATTATTTTAAATGACAGCACCTGCACCTAACATACTATGAAACTATACTATGAGATTTTATTTAACAATTACATTTAACAATCACTGCTACTCTCAGGTGATGGATGAGGAATGGAGGGGAAAGGCAAAACAAACCAAGCTAATTGGTGCAAATTTACTGCATTAAATCTGAATCACCAAATCTACATTACGGTGAAAAATGTTCCCCTTCTTAAGTAAGTAACTTACTGGAAACTGAAAGGTAGTGTGTTTGGTTGAAGCTCTTTGTAAGCTGTAAACCCTCTGTACAAAGGATTTCTCAATTCCTGCTTCCTCTGTAAGAGGAAAGGCCACAGAGAATGGGTCTTCTCAAAGATTCTGTCAAGTACAAATAACATATGATCACTACAAAGAAGAAGCAAGTGGATTAAGAGCTTGAGCTGTTTGGAGTAGAGTTATGTAATGGTGCTAAGGAGTATTTTTACACTGTCTGATTAATTTCAGAAACACAAGAATCACCATGGAGGAATACCTAATCATTTCAAATGGACACTATCCACTCCAGAAGGGCTATCTGCAAGTTATTACTGTGGTCCAAATTAAAACATCTGCCTTCTGGGATATCACTAATCTATCATTTTTTTCACACTGTAGAACATAAGCATTTATCCAGTATCTGAAGGTGCTACAGGGAAGCTGGAGAGGGACTCTTTGTTAGGAACTGGACAAGAAGTAATGGGGATAAATAGAAAAAGAGGAACTTTAGATTATGTATTAAGAAGTTTCTCCTGTGAGGGTGGTGAGACACTGGCACAGGTTGCCCACAACTCACAGGTTGTGGCTGTCCCAACCCTGGCAGTGTTCAGAGCCAGGCTGGATGGAGCCTTGAGCAACCTGGTCTGGTGGGAGGTGTCCCTGCCCAGGGCAGGGGGTTGGGGCTAGATGATCCCTACGGTCCATTCCAACCCATTAACATACTATGAAACTATTATATCAAGACCATGTCACCCTTAACCAATCTACAGTGGCATGAAAAACACACACAAAACCTGACCCTTTTGCTGCCATTTCAGGTGACTCTGGACTGTTGGTCCTACAAACTGCCAACTCACTTGAGATCCTCACGCTCCTTATGGCAGGTCCCAAGGAAGTTGCCAAACTGGCAGGAGTAAACATGGTCATGGATTTCGAGCAGGAACCTCTCATTGAACTCAAAGGAGCAGGGAAACTGCTGCATTAGCTGCCAGACACAGTCCACAAACTGAGTGAAGACAGGGGACACCTCTTTGGGGTCCCCATCCAAATGGCCACACCTAGAGAGATGCAAACAAACAGGGGTAAATGCTGTGTCTCCCAGCACAAAAAGAATCCCCTTGCCATTAAACTGGAAAGTTTTCTTCCAGTTCTCCTCATGTTCATACTTTGAACTTGGTAAAAGTCCCGAAAAAACATTAGCTGAGATCTTCTTCCAGGAGATGACTGCAGAAAAATTAACATGTCTTGTCAGACCATTATTGATGGCTCAGGCTGCCCAGGGCAGTGGTGGAGTCCTCATCCCTGGAAGTGCTCAAAAAATGTGTGGATGTGGCACTTGAGGACATGGCTTAGTGGTGGACATGGTGGGGGTGCTGGGCTGATGGTTGGACCTGATGATCTTGGAAGTCTTTTCCAACCATAATGATTCTATGATTAGCACTCCACAAATGACACAATTTTGTAGGTAGAAAACCACTCAGAATTCAAACAATTTGTTCAAGACTATAATTTTGTAAGGTAATAAAACCCCCTGATGAAAGAACAGCCCTAGCAGATACGACAGGCTGTATGCCATCAACTCCAGTATTTTCTAAATCTTCTCCTCTCTGTCCTGTATTTTCACTTCAGTTTTTCATGGGAGCACAGGAACCCGAACACACTCTATCAGTTCCACAGCCAAGCCTCACCCAATCACGGCACCCAAGGTAATGTGCTCCTCTCACCTGTGTGAAAACTTGTGGCCCATTGCAATCCACTCCTTTTCTATCAGAACCTGCAGTTTCCAAACAGGGATTAAAACAAGAGCATTACTTTGGTTAGGAGAAGCAAAATGAAGCCTTTGGTGTTAAAGCCTAAACAGCTGACAAGCTGCTGACTCTCCTGTTCCAAGTACATCCCCACAAATCAATGGAAATAGTAATTGTGATTTATAGATTATCCAGTTACCAGTGCAGTGGCAATGCTGCAATCAGAACTCATTTCAAATAAGCCCAGTACTATTTTGAGGGAGTTTCTATGTTGTTAAAATCACACTATCTAAACATACTGAACTAAAAGAATTAACCTCCTCAGCCTGGAGGAGAGAAGGTTTTGTGGGGACCTCAGAGCAACCTGCCAGGATCTGAAGGGGATACAGGGAAGCTGGAGAGGGACTCTTTGTAAGGAACTGCAGTGACAGGACAAGAAGTAATGGGTATAAATTGAAATAGGATAGCTTTAGATTAGCTATTAGGAAGAAGTTTTTTCCCATGAGGGTGGTGAGATACTGGCACAGGTTACCCAGGAAAGTTGTTGCTGCCCCAACCCTGGCAGTGTTCAAAGCCAGGTTGGATGGGGCCTTGAGCAACCTGTTCTGGTGCAAGGTGTCCCTGCCCAGGCCAAGGGCTTGGGACTAGATGATCTCTAAGGTCCATTCCAACCCCTTAACATACTACAATAGTATGATTCTATAAACAGTTTAATATAATCTAATTCAGGAAAGAGTAGTGTGATATTCAGCAAAATAAGTCAGCAACTGGAATTCAACAAATGAACACAGCAATTGGAACATGAGAAGTACAGCTGTGTATTGAGGAGCATGGGATGAAATCTTTCTCTTTTAAATAGAAAGCCTGTGCTAGTTATAGGAAAATAAAAAGCAAGCAGTGTTTTCCTTAAGCATGTATAAGGAACCATGTGACTGATGCTGCATCCATTATTCCTTGCCTTGCTGGACCATATCTAAAGATCAACTAGTGATATCATCATCCAGAGGCTTAAAGACCAGATGGCAGGCAGGAACTCACAGCAGAGTTCTTTGAAAACTCCATTTATATTGCTTTTCAATTTTTTTCCATTCCTTACACTCCTGTTGCATTCATTTACCACTGTCAGGGCATTTGTGCCTATAAACCATTGGCTCAGAGGACAGACAAGGATGTGTCTGTGTTAGTTACTGCTCCTGTTCCTAAGCAAGATCATGTTTCTTAGTTCATGCAGAACCATTCAGAGCACAGCCAAAGCCCAGGCAGATGTTTCACATGCTGATATAATTTTAACTGCTAACAGACTGCAGTCCAATCCAGAAGCAAAGATAGTAATAATAGCATGGAATGCAAGAAAACAGTCCTGGCAGTGCAACACACTGGAGGAGGCAAAATCTGCATTGTTCTGATTCCAAGGATTCTTACCAGGAACTCTCCTCAGAAACAGCAGTAGCTCCTCAGGTATTTAACAAGAGATGACTGGAAAGAAACATCCCAGACTGCACTGTATTTCTGCAGGGATGGCTTCAAGAAAGAAAAAGGCTGCACTAGAAGCAAATGGCCAAATTCATGTGAAATAGTTTTTAAAAAGGCCTGAAATGGTGCAGAGATGTTACTGATCTAGAGGTTATACAAGCATAAGTTCACCCAATTGGAAATCCTAGCAGATAACAGACCTACATGATAAGCTCCTAAAGCACTTTTTGGTGGATTGCTGCCAGAATTGCATCCTTTGCTCACTCATCTCTTGCTGAAATCTCTCATTAGTGGCTCTGATGTGGACATCCAAGGAAAGAAAGATTTGGGAATTGTAAACCAACCACTGCCCTGTGTGCCCATTGCTGGTCAGAGCAATTACAGCTCATTACAGAATCAAAGCTGCTTTATATAGGTCACCTACTGCTTGTTCCAGGAAATGGCCTAAAACATTTAATTAGGGCCTGTTTACATTTCCAATGCAGGAAGCACTTTTAATGTTTGAAATTCCACGTTCTTACCATGAAGCCTTTGAAAGTCCTGTAGAAGGGGTCCAAGAGCAGGCCAGCCAGGGAGCAGACCTGTGCCGTGCGATCCCACCCGTCCGAGCAGTGCACCAGCACACTGACCTTCTCCTCCCTCACAGCCTGGGAAGGACACACCACACACAACAGTTCAGCACCTCTCTAGGTTGATTTCTGAATTCAACACTAACCTTTCATCTGCATTTTCCTAAAACCCTAGAGGAATACTGGTCATGTCTCATCTGGACCATTCCAGCAATCCACAGGAAACCCCAACTAGCACAAAATGCGGCAGCACGTCTTGTCAGCAACAGACTGGCAAGAAACAAGACCCTGTGATCTCAAATGCTCAGTCTTCTGAAAGGCCAAGAACTCTCAGTCTCCTTCCTCCTCTGATGAAAAATTTGGTGGCTGAGTAAAGAATAACAACTGGACATATGGGGACTAGGAACTTCAAGACAAAACAGAAGAGCTGATCCCAGTTTCCTCTCACATGGATCACCTTTTTCCCCTTGTACCAGTGGCAGAAGAGAAACACAAAATAAGTTTCTTGCTTGCTACATGGGAAAACTGTCAGAGAGAAAATACATTTACTCCTCACTACTCTCATCACGTGTCGCCTGCACACCCTTTACCACTCCTGAAGAGCCTTAGTGACTTCTTTTCTTTTGCCTGCCCTTCAAAGCCAGAAACATTACAGAAATGAGGACTGTGCTGAATAATCAAAATTAGCAGCCCCTAATTCTCCACAAAACCAGGAGCAAATAAACTGGCAAAAACAATTCCTCAATTCCAGCAGTGCAGGTGACTGAATAATGAGCACAGGCTTATGAGCTTGTTTGCACTACTATACAGAAAGGTTTATAAAGGTAATTTACCCACATTTATGTGTTTAAAATGAGTTCTAATAAAGCCTAAGTCACTGCTTGTTGCAATACAGTGTACAGGACAATGTCCCAACCCCTACATTTTGTCCCAGAAGTGTCTAGGAGAGAGCCAGGAGGTGACCCACTCTGTGTTCTCCAACTGCAGGTTTGGTTTGGATCACTGAGGCCAACCTGGAGAGCAATGTTTTCCCACCGTCTCTCCAGAGACACCTTCACAGCCTTGGAGCAGTGCCTAACAGACAAGTAAATGTATTTTTAATTCACCTACAGGCTAGAGTACAGTTTTACCTTGGCAAGAAAGACACCTGCATCCATCACAGCCTTAATGTGCCGTAACCAACCTGAGTTCTCCAGCCCAGTGAGGAAATCACTCATTGAGGGGGACTTCGTTTCACACACTGGGAACACAAACAAAGGTATTAGTAGCTGAAGCTGAATTTCCACACTTTTTACATGAAAGCCACAATAACCTATCTAAAGGACATAGAAACTCCTAATTGCATACTCAAAATTCTGAACTAAATGTTGCTGTTTTGTGTGAGAACTTGAGGCTCTGAAAGTCTCCTCTTCCTCCTCTTATTTTGAAATGGTAACTCATTACTTATTCAGCTGAGTCTTTTTCAATAAAAAGTGTTTAGTGATCAGTTACTTCACTAAAAATCACCATCATACACACATCTACAACCATGCACTCACCATCACCGAGATGTGAAGACAGGAGAGTTCTAACTTAGAGAGGGAAATAATATGTCTAACCTTGAAGGCAACTCAGATGCTGTAATGAAACTCAGCACAGAAAATACTGATAGTAATAAAGCTCACTAACACTCCATGAGCACCAGGGAGTGAACTTTCATCTCTGTTGAAGAGTATGGGAGCAAATAAGTAACTATTCTGCCTCTTCATCCACTACAAAATAAATCTGCCAGGAACAGGCAGTTGAGAGCTCATAGCTGTGATCAGGCCATGCTTGGGTGTCTGAATGTCTTCATTTTTCTCCAAGGTCACCACAGATCCTGCAGTGCCACCTGACCAGGCAACTGGTCAACCATTTTGAAGCAGTATGACCATTATGCTGGTTACCAAAATATTCAACTCCTATTTTGAATGACAGCACTTGAATTGAATCTTAGCAAACAAGCACAGGCACCAAGCAGAGTGACTTGCAGCACCTGCTCTGCCCTGTTCTGCAGCTTGAGTCAGCACAAGAATGGCAACAGTGCTGGAAACCAGTGAGCACACTGTGCTGGTTTGATCCAAGCTCTGCTCCCTATCACCTTCAGTGGAGCTTCTCCAAAATTATATCAGTGGAACTATGGACCCAATTCCCCTCTTGATCCCCAATGGCTCAGGTAAGCATTTCTTCTGCCCTGCTTTATATTTTTCCGTACAAGGAGCTTAATTACCCGAGCTATATTTATGTATATTATGTATTGAAACATTTATGTTTTATTTATGTATTAATCTATTCATGTATTAAAATGATAATTTAATAGATGTTTCAAGTATTAAAATCAAGTTTAGTTAGAGGAATTGGAAATAAATGAAAAGTAACAACTATGTACCTATGAGATTAAAATCTTTGGAATATAATGCCAAAACTGTATTTCAAAACAGAAATACCGTTTAACACTGAAACTCTCCAAACTCAACAGAGCAAACCCAAAGAAGTATTTCCTCAACAACCTCTGTTGGTTTTCTTTCAGTAGCTCATGAAGGAACCATGAGACTACCCTAGAGGTAAAATGTCACAGAAAAAGACTAGAGAGAAATATTAATTAGGCTCATTAAGACATTCATGATGGATGTAAACTAGCACAATTAAGGAATGTTATTTTTGAACCACTACAAAACTAAGCACAAGAACAAATAAAATGTCAACCAGGAAAGCATTTTTAACAGCATTAATACTTTCAGCCACTTCAATATAGCAGACAAAGCAATGACTGTGTTTCCACCCCAATACCCAATCCACACCCACTTGTGCACGTAGGATTTAGATATGCAGCAGAAGGTTCTGGCCAGAAGTGGCCAAGGGTAACCAAGCCAGGCCACTCACACAGGCTGTACCCACCTTCCAGGAGTTTCTGCAGGCTGTTCCTCATCACATGGATGTTTTCTATGCCAATGAATTTGAAGCGAATGTTCTCATAGTGATCCTCATTCTCGTAGCCCTTCCCAGCAGCTCGGTTGGCCATGGCATTCAGCTGTCATGGTTCAGGGAACAGGGACAGGAGAGCAAAGAAAGGGAAAATTACAACTCACAGAAATGTGAGGGTGTTTTGCGAGTCCTTTTTTCTTTTTTCAGATCTCCCAGAAAATGTCCTGAACAACGCTGTTACTCAGCTGTACTTCCCCACCTCCCAGACAGTACTTCCAGCTGTTTCACTGTCTGCAGTGCATTAGTCATATGCTGAGGCTCATTAAGACCCTGGATAGAATTTCTTAGGATAGTACCACAACCCAATCTCAGAACACTGCTGTCATCAAAGCAGAGAGAGAGACCTGAGCCTGCCCTGACCGTGCAGCCACGTAAGAACATTCAGAGAGAAGCAGAGGAAAGCAAAACTAGGAAAGCAAAACTAGGAAAGCCATTTGTAGGGGAACATACATACATGGTGGTACAGAAATAGTAAGAGAATTCCAAAGCTTTTCACAGACATACATGCACAGATGAAATAAAGCCACCTGAGGAAAACATAGAGATATTCAAGTTGAGCAGAAAGAATACAGCAACCAACTGGAACTGCAGAAAAGAAGTAGAAAAGAAGCTGGTTGTGCTAACAGTTACCCAAACCAGTTCAAGAACTACCAGGAAATATTTAGTGGTGACACAAAACAGAGCAGCTAAACTCCCCTCCCTCCCTCCCAATATTAATTTGGGCAGAGGAGAGAAAAGGAAGGATCAGATATGGTTCAGACATCTTAAAAACTATTCAATAACCCTAGTGCTTCAGTTCCACCATTGAGTGAGACATGCTGTGTTAGAAGGAGAAATGTCACCAAATATTGAGTCTCCCCTTTTCACCAAATACTTTAGCTCAAAATTGCCATCAATGATGGATTTCAGTGGACATCTTTGGCACTAGAGCTATCTGTACCAAAAGAACATGCAGGGACTGATATAAACATACATATAATTACAGAATAGGTGATCTCTAGGAAATGTCACACTACAAAAAGGCAAAATACATTATGGAACAACAGGCGAAACATTCCCATTTTCTCCAAAAGACTTTTTCCTTCTTGCTCTTGCCATAGTTGAACTACATGTACAGTGTCTACAAAGTAACTATGATCTCTGAACAGTGAAGCAGATTCTCAGAAACCTCAATTTTAAAAGAATCAGAGCACTTTTAAATCTTGCACTTAAATACTTGTGTGCCATGAAAATCCTTGTGTTTTAATTGCCTTATACCAACACTCCTAATCAATATGCTTACAAGAGAACCATTTGGTTCCTAAATTCAGTTCCTCAAGGTGACTGTCATTAGAGATTTAATTCTCTGAGCATTTTCTCAATATACTCTTAAATAAACCCCTCAGCTCTGAACTTCCATAGCCCCAAATAGTGGCTATGGACCAGAAGAACTGAAATGTATTAAACTCCAGCTGCACATGAGAACATTAGTGGAACTTTTAAAAGGCAAAAAAAAGGAGGAATTGCTTTTCTCAACTGTTATCACATTCCACATGGCCCCAATTCCTCCCAGGTTTGCCAATAAAAGCACTTCAGCCTCATGGAACTGAATCCTGAGACTTTTTTACAACTCAACACTTAGCTCTCTGCAGTAAGTGCATCACTGTCCCAGTCCGCTTCAGGACTACCAGTTGCATCAGCTCCTCCTGAACTCAGGAACCCAGGATACTCCAGGAGAGCAGGATTCTTAACAGCACTTCACACAGCAGTTGTGTTATGCACAAGCATTCAAGACATGGAACCAGAAGGCTGATGCTGCATTCCT